GATGTATGAATGCCCCTTAACATCGGAAGCACAACTATGGCACCCTAAAATACTTACTTTGTAGGCAGCTTCACCTCATCTCACCAACAAACAGAGCTACAGGATTAGGGGCATGGCATGTCAACGGTTGTATTTGACAGCAACATGGCGGAGACATTCTGTGCTTTGATTTTTTTTTAATCCATACCTGAGCTCTACGTCTCATGTTTTTAGATGCAAAAACGTATTCTGTGTGAACGGCCCCTTATGGTGTATTCACACAGGATGTCACTGTTAACACTTCTCGTTTATTTTGAATGGGCAACGTCATGCATCGCCGAACTGAATTGTGGATCCGTTGTGTCGTGGCACTGCCATTGCTTGCGGCAAAAGTTGATACATTTTCAACTTTTCAAGCACCAACGCAGGTGTCAGCCAATCAGATCGCCTTATGCAAATACCTTAGCGCAGACGCTTGCCAATCATGTTTATGCAACACCGGAAAAGTAATGTGATTGGCTGTTGTCACTATGACGATCGTGTCAGCACCAAGCTTCAGACATGCCCTGCGTCAAATGTCGATGCCGACGCTCCATGTGAATATACCGTTACTCACAAAGTCATGAAGCGTTCATGATAAACTAGAGTCATGCAAATGAAGCACTAAAGCTAATACAATATATATTTTTTTTATATTCTACCAATGATAAAACTGTGCTATTGGTTTTGTGAGGGAACACACTGGTAGGACTGTTTTTATGATTATTATTAACATATATAGTGATTTTCAAGTTAAGATTTTGTGTAATGCATAATGGCGATTGTAAAATATGCATTTTTGGTATGGGAGTGGAATAATTAATAATAAATAATTTCTGAGTGGGATTGGGGGTATTATACCTAGTTTTGTTACTCAGATCTGGCAACCCTTCAAAACACTGACTAACCGAGTGTGTGATGTCTTATGGTCAATGTGTTCTTGCCACTCTGTGCTAAATTATGTTAATTGGAATGGAAAATCTGAAATCATCTAAAAGGAATGACAAGGCAGCAACATTCAGTCACCCAGCACACACACACTTGAGGAATGCTAGGACCTGACATCTCACATTTCGACATTTATCGACTGCGGCAGCACTCATTAATGGGTTCACAGAAATGTGACTGATGACAGCTGAGGATTCAACGTGAGAAAGACTGTGTGTGTGTGTGTTACTGAATGAGATTCCTTAAAACTAAGTTTGTCTTTCGGAGTTACTATGGCAACCTCATCTACAGCATCCTCTATGAGACTAATACTGTCATTAGCGTTTCACTCCCAAATCTGCCTTCTCCTGCTTTTAAAGGTGTAATTAGAGCAGGGAATGTTGTTCATCGTTAAGATTACAGCTCAGAGAAAAAAAAAATCTCAGATTTTTCAAGTGACAAAGCATTATGTCTATAACAATGAATGCGCCCATAACATGCACATCATGTATGTAAATTATTATTATTTCTTTTTATTTAAATTTCTGAATTTGCAGTTCTGGATTTGTTAAGCTGTAATTTTTGAAGGGTATATTTAGTTGTTATACAGGTATGAATTTATACTAACTGTAAGGAATTAACATGATAGAAGAACGTGAATAATAAATATAACGAATCTCCTGCATTAGAGACAGCTGAAAGAGCATCACACTTAAACTGACTTCTCAGTATGTGTGTGTGTGTGTGTTACTGAATGAGATTCCTTAAAACTAAGTTTGTCTTTCGGAGTTACTATGGCAACCTCATCTACAGCATCCTCTATGAGACTAATACTGTCATTAGCGTTTCACTCCCAAATCTGCCTTCTCCTGCTTTTAAAGGTGTAATTAGAGCAGGGAATGTTGTTCATCGTTAAGATTACAGCTCAGAGAAAAAAAAAATCTCAGATTTTTCAAGTGACAAAGCATTATGTCTATAACAATGAATGCGCCCATAACATGCACATCATGTATGTAAATTATTATTATTTCTTTTTATTTAAATTTCTGAATTTGCAGTTCTGGATTTGTTAAGCTGTAATTTTTGAAGGGTATATTTAGTTGTTATACAGGTATGAATTTATACTAACTGTAAGGAATTAACATGATAGAAGAACGTGAATAATAAATATAACGAATCTCCTGCATTAGAGACAGCTGAAAGAGCATCACACTTAAACTGACTTCTCAGTAATGAGTTGTGCAGATGGACACACACACACACAGTCCCTGTAGAGACCAGAGACCACATTACAGCTTATTCTTAAAATATCACCCAAACATCACACTCAAGTCTTACAAAAAGATGGCTATACTATGGTACAAAAAGATGGCTATACTATGGTACCGTATGATTAACCTATTCATATTCCACAGAATCTACAGGGTAATGAAAGGTATATGCACATATGAAAGTGTCTGTAAAAACCCATAGTATTACCATTTTTGTAAGTGAAGCAAATGTTGATATATAGCTGCATATACACAAATTTCCGAACACCTGAACACACACACATAAAGCCGTCGTGAGGCCTGTGAGACCCTCTGGTAGTTTATAGTCGCTGCCATACATGGCCACAGCTTCTGGAATAGCAACTGCCATCTGATCTGACCACACAATCTCTCGCCCGCTTGTTCACTCGCTCTCTGAAACTCTTTCTCTCTGTGAGAATAATGCAAAAAGCAAGAAATGACACTAATACACAATAGGACCTGAAACTCGGAAAAAATGACCGTCAAAAATGAGTCTAAATCCATCTTTTTCAACAAATGACTAAAAGAAGTGCTTAGCCTTTATATGAAAATTAAGATCAAAGTTAAAAAAAAAACGATGTGTGACTGATATTTTCTAGCCACACACAGATGAGACTTTTATAGACATTTTAAAAGATTATACAAGGTAAATGTAAAGCAAATTGATTTAAACTTTTTGAAACACAATTTAAGTAACAATGAAAAAAAAAAAAAAAATAGCATAAACAATGTCAGAGAAATACAAGTAATTGTATTAGTAAAATGATCCCTTTTATATGTTTTATATGTTTGACTCTTCACATACTGTAAATAAATCCAGTTATATGAGAGGTCGTTACATACCACAGCACAAAACACATCCCACTTCACAAAAATCTCACAATTCTGAGTGTCTAAAATATTATCTTAAATATAGGGGTCATTCTCAGAAAATGCATAAAATATTTTAGAGAAAAAAAACAAATGATATTTAAGATACTGGTGTTTAGAGAACCAATTGGCTATGGCAGTGGTGACGAGAAGTGAGGAATCTACAAGAGGGGTGGGGTGGTGGTGAGGAGAAATAGAGCGGATACACGGTCAGGCGCAAATGCTATCGGGGAGAATGACAGGTAGAAAGGGGGCACAGTGCGTTTACCTGTATGAAGTGAAAGAGTTTCCCGTACACTGCGCGATGCTAACTTTCTTCCCCCCAAACCAGCTCTGCATTTGGTGTCCACAGTTCCATAGGGACCTAGTTCAGTTGGAACAGTCACATCAGAAATCTTTGTTTTTGGGGGTGAAAAAAAAAAAAAAAAAGGAAGCATGCACAATGGAAGCAGAAGTGAGCGAAGCCTTGTGGGAGAGATCTTGAATTTACAATTGCAGCCCCATCACGTACAACTAAAGGAAATGCAAAAAGGTTTTACAGTGTGGGTGCCTCCTGACACTCACACATAAACATGTTTTACAATATGCTTGCATCATAAAAGCATGTCAAGGATAGTCATCATTGAAGCACACTCCAGTTAAAGAAGCTGCATGGGGACTATGGGTGGTTAAAAAGTACCAAAAGCTGGGTTGAAGATTTTGCTGCTCCTGGGGAAGGGGTTTGGTATGGTGTGTGCAGCTGTGGGGTATAGAGTGGGGTTGCCCCTAGACTTACCCCATCCATAGAGACAGGGGTGAGATTGGGATCAGTCTCTAGTCCTTTAGCTTCTTTTCAGGGCTCCGTTTCATACGAGTCTGGTCGTTTCACAAAGGAAAAACAATCATGAAACATCAAAAGGCAAGAACAGCTAAAGCTCCAAGCAAAAGCTCTTGAGTTCCCTCTTTAAATGATCAGGCAGGCTCTTTATTTGAAGGCTTGTTATAGTCGTAAAGATCATGTACAGATCTTTAAAGTCTTCTCTTCTGAGAACACTTGCGGCAAGAATAGTTACCATGATAGAAACTTCAAACATGAATGTCGATGCAAAATGTTTTCTAAGGTCACATTCACATTCACACACTGGCATCCTCAGCATATTGGTGCGAATAGGGGCATGGTAAATGAATGAAATACTGTCACTAAATGAGAGGCAGATGCAAAGAGAGTTGGAGAGAGATGCAGTGAGGGTCATCTATGGAGTTGCAGCAGCGAAATGAGCAGGAAGACTGAAAGAAACTGATAGGAATCTCCCAATTCATTTAATCCAAAATCACAGCACCACAGAATATACAGCACTTTCGTGTAGCCTTAATCCAGTTTCACTTTATAAGACTACAGATAAAAAATAAAAAAAAATTGCAAAACTTTAATACATTTCACTACTAAGGCATAAGAATCGTAGGCCACTCATGATTTTGGCTGTTTTTCTGGAAAAAAATTGAATTTTGGCTATAAACAATCACTGCGAAAAAGCCACAAGAAGGAACATGTTCTCTCTCTTGCAGCTGTAAACAAAAGATAAAAATTAAAAGGAGTACGTCTCTTTAAATGGATAATTGAGTCCCTTATCACTGTTTATAAAAACACGATAGCATTAATAAAAGACACTTTACAAAAACAGATTCTACAATGCATCCTGGCAGTTAAGTTGGCGAGCTCAGAGACGCTCCCGTAAGACAGATCCCAGCAAAAGCTGACTAGCTACACCTTCCTCTGATTGGTTGCTTCCCATACATCACCATATCTATGGAAGTAGCTACATTAAAGTTGGAGGGGAGAGAAGTCACAGTGTCTTTCAGCTTTCAGGATGGGTGGACAGGGATGGAAGGGTGGGGTTAAAGGTCATCACTAAAGTTTCTCCCTTCTGAGGTGTAAGGGATGCATATGTATGTGTGTGTGGATCGAGGTTGCTTCCCTGTGCACGTGTACACGTGTGCGTTCCTGTCGTGACAACCAATGGAAAGCATACACGCTACACCACAGTCCCAGAGAAAAACAAGGAACACACACACACAAAGACACATAAAATACTTTCCAACCCTGGTCCTACACTTCACACACCTTTGGAGTAAACATACATTCAACTTATTTCAACATTTTTGTAATGCATCGAAATCTAAATGTCTTAACTAAATGAATGTGTAAACTGATTAAGTTCATATAACTAATCAAGCAGTATTTAAAAATATCAAGTCCAGTATTCATTCATAGACTACAAACACTTAGAATATAAAAGTTAAAAAGCATCATGGCTAGTGCCTAATCTACTCTTAAAAACTAATTGGCAATAGATTGAAGGTTTCTTTAAACAGACAATGTGTTACATTGGTTACGTGTGCAGGAATGAGAGCATGCAGTTTTCCCTTTTCAGCCCTGACTACACTGGGTGTGTGTGAGATCAGAACCAAGGTTAGAGGCTCCAGTCTGTAGTTAAAACCGACACAGCCACCGTCTTAAACCCAAGCACGCACACATCATAAACATACACCTGTGGCTTCTTTCTGACACGCACACACACGCAGCACAAGGAAAGGAGAGGCAGAGAGGACGTGGAGCACACTAGCGGAAGGGTGTTTCAGGGGTGTGTAGGGCGAGTTCGGGGCGGCGGAGGAGGGGCTCCTTGTGCGACGGCGGAATCGGCGGTGGCTCATACACGCGGGGTGTTGCCATGGCGATGGCGGCAGACACGGGGGCGGCGGGCAGCACTGGCCTGAGGGAGTCGAGCGTCGCCACCGGCTGAGTAGGCACACCAGACAGAGTCTGCAGTGCGGTCATCGCTGCAAGGTGGTTGGCGGACGGATATGCGTACTGGTACTGTGGATACTGCTGCAGCTGCTGGTACTGCTGGTAGTATTCCGCGTAGTATCTGGGAGAAATGGAGGAGAGGAAACACACATGCACATCCACACAGACAGGGAAAGAGAGACAGAAATCACACAGACAAGCATACACACACATATATATATATATATATATATATATATATATATTCATACATATACACACACACCATTGGACAGGGAGAGAAAGAAACACATTTACACGCAAACACACATACACACATCACCGCCACTGTAAATCGGTAATAAAACAGCCAATCTTTGAAAATTGACAAACTTCTGCTGTAATCATGTATTGTGTCCAGGGCCGGATTTACGGCACGTTCCTATGCTCGCTCGTCCAGGGGGACCAAACACAATGAAGAGATATAACATTTTTGATATGCTATGGGCTATCTACAACAGTAATCTTTTATGTATGTAAATCACACAATCTTTCTCCCGTTCTCTCGTACACAGACGCACACACGCGGAGACGCGAACAGAAACTTGTTCTCAGCGCTGCCCTGCGAATTTATCAATAAAATAGTTTCGCAGCTGAAAAGCTACATGACATTTCTTAGTAGCGAGGTTCTTGAAGCAGTTCAACTTAAAGATTTGGTATTAGTAGACGCTGCCTAATCTCTCTAATAACTGCATTAGCCTGGATATCAGTGGCTCAAGCCTCTGTTATTAGCTCTAAAATGACGTTTTGGAATTTGCTATGGAAGGTTTGGGATGAGGTGCGCAAGAAATTAGTTAAACACACACGAGATTTCAGGACGGAAACATGGCAAACGTCTTGAAATAAATCATCTGAACTATGTCTTGAGGTGTGGATGTTACTCCAGGCCATTACAATTATTAGAGAAATAATGCACTAATGCAATTATATGCAATAATGCGTGATGTGTCCACGGCGCCAGAGCCTATTAATAGAACGGTCTTTCTCCGTTCTCAAATTAAGAACTACATTCGATCTTTATTGACTGAACACAAGTGCTTATTGCAATAGAAAACACTGTAACGGTTTCCACTGATTGTGAATTTTTTTTTTTGCTGGGGTGGTAATATTATATATTACTAGGGAAGGGGGGGGAGGGCAAAAATTTGTTTTGCCTATGTCACAATAAGAGGTAAATCCGGCCCTGATTGTGTCTGTTTTACTGCAATCAACTCACCTGGCTACAGCATCATCCTCCTGTGCAGCGGCTTCCTCTCGACCTGCAGGTGTAGGCAACAAGGCTCTGCGCTTGGCCCTCTGGTACATAAATGGTTTCATAACAGGGTCTGGCAGCAGCGGAGCAGATCTTCTTAGCGGACTCCGGTCCCTCTCTCCAGACTTTGAGCTAGCCTGTTGCTGTTCAGCTAGAACTTGCTGTCCTTGTGCAAAGTAGTGCGCCCTTGCTGCCTCAAAGATAGCTGCTGGGTCAGCTGCCCCAAAACCCCCATAGGCCGGGGAAGCGGTGTAGAGAGCTGGTGCTACTGTATAAGCTTGGTTAACCGCAGCAGCGGTCGGTACCTCCATGCTGTGCGCTGCAGCTAGGAACATTGGATTCGCTACAGCGGATGTGTAAACTTGTGGACCGTATGCAGCTGCGACTGCTCCGTTTGTCACCTGCCCATAGAGAGCTGGGTTAATGGAGCCGTACACCTGTGTAGCAGCTGCAGCAGCACCAGAGTTGAGTGCCTGATTTGCAAGTGTCCCACCGTAGAGCTGATTGGAAACCGTCCCGTACAATTGACTAGCTAGTGCACCGTACACAGCTGGCGCCACGGCGGTTCCTCCTTCCGCCCTCGCACCAGCAGCTGTAAGTCCAGTCAAAGCAGCATACGTGGGGTCAAACGTTGAGGTGTTGTACACAGAATTGTGGACACTCTGTTGAACCTGCAGTGGAAGGCCAGCCGCTGCAGCGGCGGCGGCAGCTAACACGGCCGCTTGGCTCTGGTACTGCTCTAGGGTGGGTTTACCAGCTGGGCATTCACCTGCATAATGGCCCTGTTTTCCACAACAGACACACGGGATTTTCCCAGTTGGAGCCTGCTTACTTGGCTGAACTTTGGACAGCTCCACGGAGAGCGGTCGTCCTTTGAAGGAGGTCCCATGCAAAGCCTCAATTGCCTGCAGCGCATCCTCCTTGTTCTCCATGTGGACAAAGGCATAACCTTCACAAGAACACAACTTTATTATCATGGGGTCCCGCAAGTAAATGTTAGAACAGTGCAGAACCGTGTGGTACCCTGCATGAGCTCTAACACCCAGTTTAAATTAAGAGTAGCCGACCTCGCCCTGGAGAGCTAACTTGGTTTTATTGTGCACTCATGATTTTTCTAGAGTATCTTTTGCTGCTGAATTATCCTCTAACCTAGTTTATAATAGTATTTTTGTCATAGATTGTGATTTTATATATTTTCCATTTGTTATTTTTCAGCAGATTGTGTTTAACACACAAAAGAGTGATGATCAGATCAACACACAGAAGTATAGAAATTCTACATTAATAAAAAAATAATAATACACTCATATCTGAAATGTAGATATTCAGAATTTTTGGTATCAGATCGAGTTGTTTCTGAAAAAATGGTATCACTGCATCTCTAGTTTGATTAGAGTTAAAGCTAAACTCTGCAGGATGGTAGCCCTCCAGGAGCAGGGCTGGCTACTTTTGCGTTAGGTTTCGTCAGCGACTTAATAATCTCTTACCTTTCACCTTATCGCACTCCAAAACTTTGCCAAAGGTCTGAAACAGCTCCCGAAGATCTTCTGTGGTGCACATACTACTCAGATTACCCACAAACACCTTCGTCGAGTGGAGCGGGCGTCCTCGGGACTCCTCAACCACAAGGTTGCGTCCTTTGAACTCTCTGCCATTGAGCTCCTGGATGGCACGCTCAGCAGCGCCCTCTCCTTGCAAGTGTACAAAAGCAAACTGTCTCAAGACGCTGCAGCTAACCACCTGGCCATACGACTCAAAGATGGCTGACAGTTCTTCTTGCGTGGTTTCCAGGGCCAGATTCCCTACGAAGAGCTTAACTGTGTGGCCCTTATCCATAGTGCTGAAATGAGTGAAAGATGTTATTTTAATAACTGACATATCAGACAAGTACATATAAATGTGTACGTACAATTTGAAAAGTGAAGGGTACACAATTCCAGGGGCGTATGGCATATTTGCGTACGGCAGAATCTAGCAGTTAATCAGCCAGAGACTCACCGAGTCTTCAAAACAATCCAACCGAGGTGCATAGACCAAAAAACTTTCCCAAAAAGTAAAATACTTGAAAAAAGTCCGCACACTCTCAAAAATCAAAAAGTCACAAGCGAGATGAAAGCAGTGCAAGCAATTTACTGAAAAAAAAACAAGGCAAATGTTTCGGTCACATGTTGACCATTTTCAATGCCAAGCTAACAATCTTTTGTTGTTTTTTTGAGAACGTGCAGACTTTTTCCAAGTATTTTACTTTTTGAGAATATAGCAGTTGTCATACACTAGCATTAAGAGTTCAGACAAAATATTATCGATGATGCTCGTTAAAAATAATCCACATATTTTTAGGAGAACAGACCTGAACATTGCTAGGTCGAGGTTCCTAATAATGACAATTTATGGATCATCTGTCACAATAAGCACTGCTGTTATGATAACGCTGACTTCTCTGATTGGATCCTGCTTCGAGATTGTGGTTAGCGCCGTGTTTACCTTTGTTTTGATCATTAAAATGTTTATTTTATTATTTTAACAATGTAGAGATCATAATGGCAGTTTTTTTTTTTATCATATAATGTATGCATTATTGCAAAAGTAATTCTTAATCATTTTCTCTGTGTGGAGTGTGCGCTGTCGCAGTTTGTTGCATCTATTATCGCACGTCTTTTAATACTGTAAAGCTGCTTAGACACAATCTGCATTGTAAAAAGCGCCATATAAATAATAGTGACTTCACTAGACTTGACTTATGCAATAAGGTAAGACATACTGTGTGTTTTTATAACGCTGTTCACTGTGAATTTAATTAATAGTGCATCATGCACTTTGTTTAGGTAATGTGGGTTTATCATTCAGAAATGTTGTCGTTGTTGTCCATGTATGTCCCGCCACAGGGAATTAATACAGAGAATTATACAATTCTCTTAGAAAAATGTGGCTGTACCATGGTACAATTATAGCATCAGATATTAAATATTATTCAATACTATAGTACTCTGAAGCATAGTGAATAAATAGTGATATTTATCATACTCCGGTGATTCATGCAGTACCAAAGTACCATGGTTTACAGACAGTGCCCACCCAAAATAACAACAGTACCATTGTACCACTTTTTCGTTAGTTTTATCTCCCATTAATGGGTGAGAGAAATACATTTACACATGCAGGGAGAGGTAATAACAGTTAATTAAAAATTGGACCCTAGTAAAAACAACATATTGTCTTAAGTATAACTTGTTTTAAGTGTGACAAACAAATAAAAGTCCTGAGGACATATCATACATATCACACCTCATTAAACTCAGTCCTATCACATTAACAACGTTAAAGCAAATTATTCAGCACACGTAAAACCTCAAGCACACGTTTATTCAGCATAGATGAAATGAATCAGCTGCAGTCACAAAGCCATAGCAGTCTGTGACGCAGTGCACGCAGAGTAAACACGTTCACTTCCTCAATGTAGAGCTCGCGGAACAAACAAACAAACAAACACACGTCTCTTTAGATGATAACGGTTTAAATGCACCTCTGAAAACTGCGTGAACCCCATTTAAACGACCGCTCGGACGAAATGGGTGAGAGACGCCGACTCGCAGATCTCTTTGTAGCACTTCGGCTTCAACAGGAGTAGCGCGTGCCGAGTGATTTACTGAATGCAACATTTCTGACACCAGATGTTTACAAAACACTCCACAACGCTTCCGCCATCGACACCACCAACGCCCGCTATGTCGTTTTATATATCCATTACATACATGTGCGTATTTGTTATTCATTCTTTCCAGCCGAGACCTCTAGATGACTCATTTTGTAGGGATTTTATTTTTGGGTGTCCCCGAGCTCGCGCCCCAAACCCTTTGCGTTTCTCTATAAATCACACCGCGAGCTCGTCTATATCATCCCGCTTCGCATCGGCCGTCGTCAACTACTGATCCTATATGATACATTAAGAAATTACTTGAAACATAAACATGTATATAGAGGAAAAGAATCTCCCATCTTACCTAAGCGGTGCGGGGTTTCAAAATGGTCGGTTCACTTCCGTTCTTTTCGAATCGCTCTCATTCTTCAGCAGTGGGGACTGAACGCATGCTGATGCATTCACTTATAACACACACACACACACACACACAGAGAGAGAGGGACCGGGTACTGTGTGCATCTGCATTGCTTGCACACCATGCATCATTTAGTTTTTTTCTTGTTAAACAGGAAAGCAAAGAGAGACCTTGCAAAAAATGCTTTAAATGCGCCACAGATCTTCTTTTTTGTTAAATTAATTTGATATGTATGCATTGCAAGCAACTTTGTTTTTTTTTTGTTTTTTAGAAAGCCAGATATAAATATGTGACCCTGTACCACAAAACCAATCATAAGGGTCCATTTTTAGAAATTGAGATGTATGCATCATATCAAAGCTGAATAAATGAGCTTTCTATTGATGTATGGTTTGTTAGGACAGGACAATATTTGGCTGAGATACAACTATTTGAAAATCTGGAATCTGAGGGTGCAAAAAAATCTAAATATTGAGAAAATCACCTTTAAAGTTGTCCAAATGAAGTTAATTAAGTTTTGATATATTTACGGTAGGAAATTTAAAAAGATCTTCATGGAACATGATCTTAATATCCTAATGATTTTTGGCATAAAAGAAAAATCTATAATTTTGACCCATACAATGTATTGTTGGCTATTGCTACAAATATCCCCCAGCGACTTAACACTGCTTTTGTGCTCCAGGGTCACATATGGGCAGTTGCATATGTTTATTAAGAGCCTTTTTCAAGAGTACTGTCAGGTTATTTTTAGTGGGAATTCAAATAAAAAGGTGCTAACTTTTTGTTTTTTTTTTTTTTTTACATTTTCTAAAATATTTGTACAACAATAATCATTACAAATGATACAAAAATGACACTTTAATTAAGTCACATTATAGGTTGCTGCTGAAGAGCTTGTTTGCAAGAATGGGAAATTCAGATTAATGGCAGGCTGAAATGTAATTAACCTAAGGGCTATTTTTTATTTACTATTATTATTTTTTGTAATAGCATAAGAGCTTTGTGAATAATTTATAATATTGTATTTATTTTATTTTATTTTATATTATCTTCTATTTAAAAATGACCCTTTCAAGAAACACGGATAGTTCCGGTCCTCGATTCTGATTGGTTGAGCCACGTTCAAAGCTGTTGTAAATTACTCCACAAACACACACCTTTGTTTACTTCTGTGCTGTTCTGCAACCACTTTGTTGGAACCACATTGTTTGGTGGAAGAATACTGTTTTTATTAATATCATTACACTGTATTTGCTCCGTTTTATTTTGTGAAACCTTACTACGTATATGGAATAACCGTTTTATAAAAGCAATACACCCTGTGAAACCGTGGTTTACAGTGAATTTATAACAGCTAAGGGGGTTTTAGACTCAGTTTCGCGTCGTAACAACACACCTTAGCTGTTATAAATTCACTGTAAACCACGGTTTCACTGGGTTTATTGCTTTAATCAGTCATGGTATAATAATAACTTTTAGGTTTTTCCCCCCTAAATTTAAATTTTGATTTTGAACTTAAAGCAGCAGTGTGTAAAATCAGACATACTAAAGTATGACAGAATCACTGTGATAATTGGAGATAAATTTCACACCATCCATGTACATATTTACACACGGTTTGATTTCTGTGGATCAAAACGTGGCTCAGAATCTCATTCAGTTCATGCACGACAGGCACGTTTTTGGTCTCTTATCCTTCATTCATGTCCATCTGCGGTCCCTGACGCGTGGGTAGGTCTCATCCTCACCCCATTACAGATTAGCAGTCGGTGACTTTACGTCTTTTCCCAGCAACGGGTCGATCTCTCTCCTCCCACAGAGGCACACCATCACAGGCACAGATCTGTTTGGGGTTTTGAAGCAAGCTGGCGGAGCGGGCGATGATTGCACAGGCCAGCCTGAGAAAGCAGCGAGAGACAGCGGACGTTAAGCAAACACACACGGTCCACTGAAGGACATCCAACAGCAGAGAGAGAGCTCTGGACGGACTGGGATTTCTGCAGGAACACATACCAAGAGCGCTGGATGATGTTAAACAGCTCAGTCTGTTTGTATTACACACACAAACACTCTACAAGAAGCAGCCTATCTATCTAATGTTTTTGTCTGGATAAGAATGTCCTTCACCTCTCTCCAGAGTTTCCTGTTATTCTGGACAGCGGGTGATTCCCACGCCCCAAATCACCCTCTCCAGAATCCACCACCAGAGACCGACCAATCACATCGCACACCTGCCAGGAGACGCATGTGACCGCATAACACTGCATCTCACAACCAGAGACTAAATTATCATAGGTTGGTGAAAAATTGAATACAGCATGTAACTCAGATCCAGTGTTGTTTTAGTATGACTGATATGTGAGCCTGGAGCACAAAAGCAGTGTTAAGTCGCTGGGATTTCAGATGATGCATAAATCGCAATGTTGAAAAATTGATACTTAAGACTGGTTTTGTGGTTCAGGGTCTCACACACACACACACACACACACAGTGGTGTGAAAAAGTGTTGGCCCCCTTCCTGATTTCTTATTTTTTTTTACGTTTGTCACACTTTAATGTTTCAGATCATCAAACAAATTATCCTATCCTAACACACTGTACATCAATGGAGAGCTTATTTACTCATGATGTATAAATCTCAATTTAGAAAAATTGACCCTTATGACTGGTTTTGTGGTCCAGGGTAAAATATTTTTAATCCATTTTTTTCTATATATATATATATAGTATATTTTCTGTTTTCACTTTATTTTTAAGGTAACATTTTAGATTTTTTTTGTGTTTTGTAATTATTATTATTTAATACCATGTAGTTTTTATAAATGTTATCTCAGTATTAGTTATTTTAGTACTTCAAGTTAAACTAAATGAAAATGAGAAACGTTGCCTTTGCATCTACCTTAAATAAAATAAGTTACATTTTTTTAGATTTTATTTTAAGTATGAAAAGTAATGTTTTTGTATGGTTTAGTTATAGTTGTATATAACTACAATATATTAGGGCTGTCAAAATGGCTGAAAAATTTAATTTGAATTTTGTACTTAAATATGATCAAAATTCGAATTATATTCTAATTTAAAATGCATAATTTCAGTTAAGGTGAAGAAAAGCTTTTGGCTTCTCTCCTGAGGCAACAAGAGGGCGCACGGAGCAAAATATTACTAATGCACGTTTCTTCAACGCATAATATAACATGACTATCTGTGAAAAAAGTGCATAATGTTTAAAATAATGTTTATAAACCATTTAGAATTAAATAAGTTTTATTAAACTTATTTAAACAACTATAAACAAAACAGCATTATGTATGTATGCATAGTTTAATACAAAGGGCCGAAAGCCACACAGAGTGCATTTTTCATTTAAAAACACGAGTTGCGAAGCTCTGCCGTCAGGATCAGCCATAATATTCCCCAGATCTCCTACATGCTAGAGACCAGACAGAGACACAGCATTACTGCAGACCACCTCCAGTCATCTTTACCCACAACACCTTCGTTTCAATGTCAGTGTTAGTCAAAAAGCCTAAACTTACCCAAACTAAATAAAGCAAAAAAGGAATAAAAAATGACAAAATTCTGTTAAATAATAAATAAATGTTATATAAATGTAATTATAAACATTAATAAAGAATGCATTCATTATTAATAAATACATTATATATGTAAATATTTTTTTAATATAAATTAATTAATTAAATGTATATGATATAAAATAATTTATTTTAAATAATTTCATGTATTGCTTATTCTACCAGAGTAAATTGCTTAAAAATAAAAATAAATAAAATTGCTTGTTTTAAGCAAATAAATAAACATTAATATATTAAATAAATGAAATAACTATATTAATATATATATATATATAAATTTAATTCTATATATTATATGTAATATAATAATTCTATTACGTTAATATATCACTTAACTGTATATAATATTACATAATTTGCTGTATGTATATATATATATAAATTTAATTCTATATATTATATGTAATATAATAATTCTATTACGTTAATATATCACTTAACTGTATATAATATTACATAATTTGCTGTATGTATATATATATATAAATTTAATTCTATATATTATATGTAATATAATAATTCTATTACGTTAATATATCACTTAACTGTATATAATATTACATAATTTGCTGTATGTATGTATATATATATATAACAAGATTCTGTTATCGAGTTTAATAAATAAGCAGGCAAATAAACAATAATAGTAATAAATATAATAAAAAATACAATTATTAAATAAATTAAATAATATATTAAATGCCTATATTAGCTTTTATAATAGCTTTTTAATAATTTATAATAGCTTTTTTTAAATATATATATTAGCTTCCATAGTTTTTGGACACTGTACCATAAAATACCACTCAGGCATTGTATATAGAGTACAGCAGGGCTAACTGTCCTCTGAGCAACTACAAGGTTTATAAAAACAAGTATGTCTTCACTCCATCAGTGGTTTTGTACTGTATACTGGTCTCAAACATGTATTCCAAAGTGACAACCCCAGCAAACTACACAAGCTCAGAATGTGTTATTTATTTATTTATTTATTTATTATTGGTTAAATAACAATAGAATTTTTTGAAGCCAATGGTTTGTGTATATAACTGAAATGTAAAAAATAACTACCCTCTCCGAGTCCTGAGGAGCTCCATGCTGTTTCCTGAACGGATTGAAATGATCTCAGAGCTCAGAAAAGTGTTCGCTGTTGTGCTTGACTCGCCCGGGTCTTTCTCCAGGACGCTCTTTACTGCATTAAAGGCACAATATGTAAGATTTTTTATTAAAATATCTAAAAACCACTAGAACAGTGTTATATATTTTGCTGACTTGTGTACTATATAAATATATACACGTAAATATTTTCAAAATATATGCTGTATGTGTCTGCTTTTATATATACATAATAAATATACACAGTACACACACATATATTATGTAAAAAAAAAACGTTTTATTTGGGATGTGATTAATCGTGATTAATCGTTGGACAGCACTAAATATAATATATAATATAATATAATACAAAAAGTTATATTCAATTCATTTATGCTATTAATTTGACGTTACTTACAGTTTCTGAGAAAAACAAACTCAAGATTAGCCATTTGCTTATTTTATTGAAAAATATGTCAAATATTAAAAGCACACCAAAATAATTATATTTACATCACAGCAGATTCACAAAGTTGCTGATATAATACAATATTCACAGTTATATTTGTGTAAAATCTAAGTGGCTACTGGCTTCATTTTAAATGTTGTGGGAAACTGAGGCCTTTCTCCAGAGCGTGGGCTCTCCAGCGCTCGTCATCCGCCTCATGCGTGAGATAGCGATATTCCATCCGCTGCTCAAACTCACGCAGGTCACACCACATCTGGAAGTTCTGCAGCGGGAGAAACAGACGAGGTATGCATAAATCACACTCAAATCTGCATTTGCATGCCAGTACAATATGTTTTGGGTTGGGTTGATTTTTGGAGCAAGTCAACAGACCTGAAACCAAGGATGACCCATCGCTTTGCCAACACTGAACCTGCGTCTCACCACCACCTGCAGCAGGTTATTGATCAGATTCACAGCTGAGAGACGGAGAGAAATTAGTTAAAGGGGTCATATGATGCGATTTCAATTTAACAAAAAAACAATTGCAGCTTTTAGTCTCACACTTTTTTTCCACACTTGTCATAATACTAAGTTCTCTCTAATACTTCTCAAACTCTCTTCTGCATCTTGCAATTCAGGAAAGAAATCTGAGATGTCGCATTTACCTTTTATAAAGGGGTTCTATACAGAAAAAAATCTAACTTTAATTTATATAATATATTTTATTTCAATAATATTTACTCTTTAATAATTCATATTTTGAGGGGATTTTATGGTAATATACAGTATTCACCTCTAAATTCTGCACCATCTAAAAACAGAAATATTAGAAACAATTATTTCATATTATTTTGAATGAATACTGTATTAAAGTTTTGCATTTACACATCATTGAAGACTACTTCATTGTGGCTGATTTATAGATTGTATTTTTTTTCTTTTTTAAACCATTTAGCCTTTTCTAATCATGCTCAGTAAAAATAAGTAAAAGTAAAAACGTGAAAAATTCAAAATGAACGTGGTCTAAAATTACAAAAGGCCACTATGTATATATGCATTTATGTATTTGTGTATATGTTTATATACACACACACACACAAAGTATACATGCACACACACAAAGTACACACACACACACATGTCTGGTCAGCTATCCTTGTGGGGACTCTCCATAGGCGTAATGGTTGTTATACTGTACAGACCGTATATTTTATTGCCCTACACCAACCCTACCCCTAAACCTACCCCTCACAGGAAACTTTCTGCATTTTTAGATTTTCAAAAAACTTCATTCTGTACGATTTATAAGCTTTTGTACCCGTGGGGACCACAATTTAGGTCCCCACCGTCACACGAGTCCCCATGAGTCTGTGTGTAGTCAGGTTTAAGTCCCCACCAGAATATATAAACCAGTACACACACACACACACACACACACACACACACACAAAGTATACACACACATTTTAAGTAATATAATCAGACTACTTTTAGATTACTTTTGATGTAACTCGTTTATCATCTTGATTCAAGCAAGATAATCTTGTACCATATTGATATAATACATATATATATATATATATATATACAAAGAGAAAATATATCATTCATTGTTAGTAACAACATGAAGTGCATTAAACTGCAGGGTAAATCAAATTAATGAGTTCATCAGTAGTTGATGCAGTGTTGAAATGTTGAGAAACAACTTCTTAAAATTGAAATGATTTTTGTAAATCCAGTGGTCAAATGCTGTGTGGCCTCTCAATTATGTGTAATTATAGCCACCCGACTAGTGACTGGTGTTTGTGTGAACGAACATTTAAAAGATGAAAAAGAAGAATTAGGGAGAATCAGTAAATGTTTAATTATTCATTGCTATTGTGTGAATAACATGTAATCATGTAATCAACAAAAAAAATAACTGTAGTCTGATTCAGAATATTTTAAAAATGTAATTTAATCTAATTACAAATACTTAATTTTGTGAATTCTAATTACGTAATCTATATTACATGTAATCAGATTACATGTATATACTATATATATATATATATATATAGGTATATATATGTGACCCTGGAGCACAAAAGCAGTCTTAAGTCGCTGGGGTATATTTGTAGCAATAGCCATCAATAAATTGTAAGGGTCCAGATTTTCAAATAGTTGTATCTCGGCCAAATATTGTCCTATCCTAACCATACATCAATGGGAAGCTTATTTATTCAGCTTTCAGATGATGCATAAATCTCAATTTCAAAAAAATTGACCCTTATGACTGGTTTTGTGCTTCAGGGTCACATATTTGGCTCTACACCCCTTTACCTAAATGCATTACTTCAGAGTTATGTGCCTCTAGAAGCTTGCGTTCTGCAAGTGAACAGCGTATTATTGTGCCATCTCAAAGAAGCACACAATCACTTTCACAGACTTTTACATTAACTGTTCCCTCCTGGTGGAATGACCTGCCCAACTCAGTCCCAGCCATCTTCAAGAAACGACTAAAAACACATCTGTTCCACCTTTATTTGACCCTCTAACTCTAGCACTCTCTATTCTATGGAAGCCCATTTCCGCCACTGAATAAAAAATAAAAAAGGTAATTGCGACTTTTTATCTCACAATTCTGACTTTTTTTCTCATAATTGCGTGATACAAACTTGCAATTGCGAGTTAAAATGTGAAAAAAAGTCGCAATAACCTTTTTTTCCCCTTTTTTTTATTCAGTGGCGGAAACGGGCTTCTATACTATTCTAATTCTTAAAAAAAAAAAAAACTTGTCCCTTTTAGACTTGCACTCTATTCATTTACTAACTGCTTGTTTTATTAAAAAAACAACTAACACTAGCTTCTCTAATCTTTTTGTACTCTATCTGTTTGTTTTCTTTTTATTAATTATATAATTAAAAAACCCTTGCTACGTGTACTGCGTTAAGCTAACTGAGACTTGTTAAAGCACTTGTGCATCGTTGCTCTTTTGTTGACTTTGATTGCTTCCATTGTCCTCATCTGTAAGTCGCTTTTGATAAAAGCTTCTGCTAAATTACTAAATGTAAATATATACATTTAGTCATTTAGCAGAACTTACTTACAGTACTTACGCACACACACACACACACACACACACACAGATACAACTCTTACCCTCCAGTGAGATGAGGGACCACGGCTGGCGTGGATACATGAACGAAGCGTTGGTGATCTGCTGATTAATGTCCTCGTCCTCGTTGAAAGGGAACGTTCCACTCAGACTGACATATAATATCACACCCACGGCCCACACGTCCAGAGAGCGATTGTAACCCTTACTACAGATGATCTCCGGTGCCAGATAGGCAGGCGTCCCGACGACAGTGTGCCGGAACGACTTCTGTCCGATGATACGAGCGAACCCAAAGTCACACAGTTTGACCTGAAACAGAGACATTGCATTCAATGCATTCAGTTTGTGCATTCCCTGGAAATCAAAACATGATTCTAGTATCGTGCTCAACAGTTTAATTATCTCCATTGGACACATGCAATTCTAGACTTGACTTTAAAGGGTTAGTTTCACACAAAAATGAAAATTCTGTCATGAATTACTCACCCTCGTGTCGTTCCAAACACGTACAACCTTTGTTCATCTTCAGAACACAAATTAAGATATTTTTGATGAAATCCGAGAGCTCTCTGACCCTGCATAGACAGCAACGCAACTGAAACGCAACTGGGATAAAATCTTGTATAACCAGGCCAGGAACAGACTAACAAAGGAGATCAGAGTGGCTAAAAAAAACTACTCAGAAAAGCTGAGAAAAGAGCTTTCAGTCTGATTCTGATTCTGAAATGTTCCCAAGTCCTGAAACATAGCAAGTTTATCGATGTCCTGGGAACATTACAGTTGTGTTTCTGTCTATGCAGGGTCAGAGAGCTTTCGGATTTCATCAAAAATATCTTAATTTGTGTTCTGAAGATGAACGAAGGTCTTACGGCGTTTTGAACGGCATGAGGGTGACATGAACTAACTCTTTAAGTGTCGAAAATATTGAAAATCTTGAGTAAAGAGCCATATATGAGAGTGTCAGACCTGAGGAAAGGGTTCAGGTGAAGCCAGCAGCACATTTTCTGGTTTCAGGTCACAGTGTGCAACGTCCCTCATGTGCAGGTACTGCAGAGCCTCCAAAACCTTCAACACCAAGCACAGATCAGCAAGACTGAAACTTATTTGGTCTCCACTGGTTTACACTCTTAAAAATACAGATTCCAAAAGTGGAGTTTCGCAGCAAAGCCATAGAAGAACTGTTTTTGGTTCCCCAAAGAATATTACAGTGAACAGTTCCTAGAACTGAAGAACAGTTCTTAGTGTGAAGAACATTTTGATCATCTAAAGCACCTTTTTCACCATAAAGAACCTTTTGTGAAATGGAAAGTTTCCACACTTTAAAAATTTTTTTTTTGAAATCCATGGAATCTTTCCATTCCACAAAAGGTTCTTCATAGTGGAAAAAAGATTCTTTAGATGATCGGGAAAAAAAACAATGGTTCGTTTAAGAACAGGTCACTGAAGGATTCTTTGAGGAACCAAACATGGTTCTTCAATGGCACTGCTACAAAACCCCCTTTGAAAGCTTTATTTTTAAGAGTTCTTCATGGAACCATAGATTGCTTTATTTTTAAGAGCGTTTGAAGAAGACCTATGCGAAATAGATTAACATGCAATTCATGCACAACTGTTTTCAACATTGATAATAATCAGAAATGTTTCTCGAGCAGCAAATCAGCATATTAGACTGATTTCTGAAGATCATGTGACACTGAAGACTGGAGGAATGATGCTGAAAATGCAGCTTTGATCACAGAAATACATTACATTTCACAATATATTCACACAAAACTGTTTTTTAAATTGTAATAATATTTCACAGTTTTTACTGTATTTTTACAGTAGAACAGCATAACAGACTTGCAATTTTATAAAAAATAAAATGTAAAACAACCACAAGATAATGTTCTGTTTAAGGTGGTCTGAAAAAAAGCCGTATGGCAGCCTTCTTGGAACATTAGCTATGATTATTAAAAATGTACAACCTAAAAGATAGCTTGGAGAGCTTTACGAGTAGGTTCCTCCCAAAAATGGCACTAACATTAGAGGAACATTCTGTGTTTTAAGAGCAAACCAGCTCCTTTACCTGAGTGACTAGAAAGCGAGTGGTGCGTTCAGTCAGCCGTCCGTTCTCGTGAGATAAAATCATCTCTAGCATGTCGCTGTGGAGCTTCTCCATCACAACGAAAGTATATTCCATTGTCTTAAACATGTCTTCTAAATGAATGACTCCTGGATGAGACAGTCTCTGAAACGCACACACATGGACGATATAATGACAACAAAAACAACACAAGTGTTTGAATTGTGGGGAAAATGGCATCTTGAACTCATACCTGCAATATCGAGACCTCATTTTTGGTCTGTTCCTCCTGTTTAGTGGGAAATCTTGTTTTATCGATGACTTTAACCGCGACCGGACGGCCCGTGTGTCTGTGAGTGCCTCCGTAAACCACCCCGAACTGACCCGAACCCAAAACCTCATCAGAGAAGATCTGATAGAGCTCACTGATGTCCTGCGACACACACATGAACACACAGACAAAATCAGACTCTTCGTTCCCTCTTTGAAACACTGGTGGTTATTTTGGAAATATTTTTATGATCAAAAATTGAGTCTCACCTGGGTCTCATCACTGTTCTTTCCATCACCTGGCAAGAGAGGAGGTGTCATTTTATTTGACATTATAGACAACATGAGGATCATAGAAGATGTGGAAGTTTGTTTCTTTTGGAGAAATGTAGCATTACGTCACTTGCTCTGCAGTGAATGGGTGCCGTCAGAATGAGAGTCCAAACAGCTGATAAAAACATCACAATAATCCACACCACTCCAGTCCATCAGTTAATGCCTTGAAAAGACTTTGCATGTTTGTGTAAGAAACAAATCAATCATTACAATGTTTTAACTTTGGACAGTCGCTTCTGTTCAAAATATGAGTCCATAAGCCATAACAACACTTCGTCCAGTGAGAAAGTCCATCTCCTGTTGTTGATTGTTTGGCTTGTAAACGGTGTTCGATCCGTGCAGATTTCTCTCCTGATTCAGACAAGACGAGTTTTTCACTGGAGGAAGCAATATTATGGATTATGGACTCATATTTTAGCAAAAATTCAAATACTTCTGTTCAAAATATGAGTCCATAAGCCATAACAACACTTCGTCCAGTGAGAAAGTCCATCTCCTGTTGTTGATTGTTTGGCTTGTAAACGGTGTTCGATCCGTGCAGACAAGACGAGTTTTTCACTGGAGGAAGCAATATTATGGATTATGGACTCATATTTTAGCAAAAATTCAAATTAAAAACATCTTAATGATGGATTTGTTTCTTACAAACACGCAGCTTTTCACTTCACAAGGCATTAACTGATGGACTGGAGTGGTGTGGGTTACTTGTAGATTATTGTGATGTTTTTATCAGCTGTTTGGACTCTCATTCTGACGGCACCCATTCACTGCAGAGGATCCGTTGCTGAGACACTGATGCAATGCTACATTTCTCCAAATCTGATGAAGAAACAAACTCATCTACAACTTGGACGGCCTGAGTGTGAGTACATTTAAATTTTTGGTTGAACAGAGTATATTTATATTGTGTGGAATCAGAGGCTCATGAATAGTTCACGTCTTGTTGCTCTAACCGGTGTTGTTTGTCGTGTGGCATACAGTGCCCTGCACCGGTCTGAGGGCTTGATCGAGAGCCGACTCCCATGACGGGCCGTCCTGATCCGCAAACACACAGTACACCAGAGATCCCGTCACCAGCTCGAACGAGTGTGCGCAGTTGTCTGGCAACACTGGAATAGTGAGCCGAGCTGGACCTCGAATCTGCAGCACCTCTGAGAGAGAAATCTCCTGAAATGAAGCACACGCAACTATATTAATAACTTCATGAAAGCCCGAAGATGAACCATGTGTCAAGCATTGCTGTATTTTGCATTATGAAGTGGTAAAGGTGACACAATGCATTCTAAAGACTTGCAAACCTTGTAGTACTTAATGCTGATTTCATTCGGATACAGGGTGATACTTTTCCCATTTAATACCCAGTAGTGACGTTTTCTCTGCAAAGAAAAAAAAAACATAATATACATTTTTTTTTAATTGTTTATTTTAATGTTACAAAATATTTCTAATTCAAACAGATAATTTACTTTAGTAATGATGCTGAAAATTCAGCTTTGATCACAGGAATAAATTACATTTTACATTCAAACAGTAAACAGTTAATTTAAATTATAATAATATATCAGAATATTTTACTGTACTTTTGACCAAATTAATAAAGCCTCTGTGAGTAGGGTTATTAGAGTTAACGGGAACAAAAAACTAAATTGTACTAAAACATATATAGACATATTAAAATAATAATAATAATAAAGATGACAAAAAAACAGTCAAGTACATATATAGACATATTCAAATAATAATAATAAATAAAAATGATGACAAGGATGACAAAAAACTTAAACAAAAAATCAACAACAAATCAACAAATCAAAACTATTAATAAAAACTATAATAGTATCTTATTGACACTAAAACATTACAAAACATTTTTTACCAACCCCCAAACATTTTACCTGTAGTCTATATAAATAAAAATGACAAAATATATATAATATGTAAATAAAAATACATAATAATACTTCTACATATGAATAAGAGTGTCTCACCAGCGTGTCAGTGTTGGTATGATGGATTAACCAGCCTTTCTTCAGCACTCCACTGTTTCTTCTCTTGTTGTGTTTGATTGATTGCACCACTCGCATCAGAGGAATATTACTGCTGAAACACGGCCTGACACACACACACACACACACACACACACACAGAGAGAGAGAGAGAGACGTGAACATCTGAGCTCAGTCTGCACATGTAGAAGTACACAACATGACTCTGGACATTTAACATACTAAAAATATTTAAAACCTTTTACCTCTTTTTAAATATATTTACATTTTTAATATATATTTATGCATTTCAAACTATTCTGAACTTCTACATTCTGCTCACCAAGGCTGGATTTATTTGATCAGAATTGTGATTAATTGTGAAATATCATTATAGTTTAAAAGAGCTGTTTTCTATTTGAATATATTGTAAAATGTAATTTATTTCTGTGATCAAAGCTGTATTTTCAGCATCATTACTCCAGTCTTCAGTGTCACATGATCTTCAGAAATCAGTATAATATGCTGATCTGCTGCTCAAGAAACATTTCTGATTAATATCAATGTTGAAAACAGTTGTGCTGCTTCATATTTTTGTGAAAAACCATGATACAATACATTTTTCAGGATTCTTTGATAAATAAAACATTCCAAATGTTTTACTATCACTTTTGATCAATTTAATCCATCCTTGATGAATAAAAGTATTACATTTAAAATGATCTTTAATACATTATCTTTTGAATCATTGTGGAAGTAAGCTTAATTTGCCAGACTGCTATAATTTACATGTCAATACTGATTTCCAGTACTTTATCAGTATGGTGAAAATGTTGTATATATAATAAACATATATAATTTATATAATATAAATATTAAATGATAAACAAACAAAAAATAAATGAATAAAATGTAAATATTCTGTGTATATAAAAATAGTAATGAAAATAAATTTTAAAGAAATAAAATATTTAAATATGAATATAATAAATATAAATATGACATAATAAACAAAGAAATAAATAAGCAATTAAGCAAAAAAACATGTTTAACTGCCTTTAATTTATGCTGATTTACATTAAAATATGTCTCTATAGTGGTGGACATAAACTAAAACAAAAACATTTTATTTAAATGTCAAATAATATTATCACAATGCAAAAAGTCTTAAATGTAGGCTGAAATATCTTTATGGAAAGTTTGATTTTCCTCTTTTGATTTGGGGTGAAATGTGAACTAGAAACATTTTTATCCCATGCATACATAATCAAACTGACCTTCTCCGTTTGCTTTCTCACCATTACACTCAGGAGGAACAAGAGTCATACACCTGCGATGACAATTGTACTTACAGTCTGAAGAGAAACACAGAGAAAGCAAGAAGTTATTGCTCTTTCACAGCTCAGAAGACTTAAAGGAGAAGTAAGCGGTTTCTGAGAAACACTGTTGAAAGTGCACCAAAACACAGTTCCAGCCAATCACCAGTAAGGGGCGTGTCCACTCATGATGGGGGAGGGGCCTGTAGCATAGCATGTTCATTAGTTTGGGGGCGGAGCTCTCAAGATAGGGGCGTGTTTGTTTTGGTAATTTAAAAAATCAACAGTTTCTCAGAAGTCGCGTACTGCACCTTTAAAGGAATAGTTCACCCAAAAAAGAAAATTCTGTCATTAATTTCTCATCCTCGTGTCGTTCCAAACCCATAAGACCTTCATTCATCTTCGGAACACAAATTAAGATATGTTTGATGGAATCTGAGAGCTCTCTGACCCTCCCATAGACAGCAACACAACTGAAATGTTCCCAGGCCCAGAAACGTAGCAAGGACATCTGTAAAACAGTCCATGTGACATCAGTGGTTCAACTGTAATTTTACGAAGCTATGAGAATACCTTTTGTGCGCAATGAAAACAAAAATAATGACTTCCTTGCTACGTTTCTGGACCTGGGAACATGTCAGGGGGGTATTCCAGAAAGCAGGTTATGTGACATAACCGGGTTTGTTTAAGGGTAAGTAAGCGGATAAACTCAGCTTTCAGTTCCAAAAACGGAGGTAACGTTCAGTGTATGTAAGCAGCCATAGCAACTTATTCTCTGAACACAACCTGCTCCGGAGTAGGTTATATTTCAGGGTTAAGGTCTTTGCACACTGAAACCGAAATTTTCGTATGCGTTTTTTCGTATACGTCATCCTTTCCCATCAAAATGCTTGCTACAGATGCGAAAACGCAGAAAATCGAACCTGGTCTGAATTTTTTTTGAGGGAAGAAAGTTTTGGAGGCAGTGTGTAAACGTGATTGACAAAATGTGAGGTCGTATTTATTTTTTAATGTGCAAAAATTTCGGACGAGAATTTCGGACTCAGTGTGCAAAGACCTTTAGTTTACTTCATATACTTACACATATACTTATATATATATATATATATATATATATATATATATATATATATATATATATATATATATGTATGTTGTGTTATGTTAGTGTTGAAGTTAAATTAAACATGTTTTGAAAATTAAAGGCATGCTGTTTTACTTGGACACTATAGCCTAAGATCCCATGCACATTTTTTCTTTCTTCCTTGTTTTCTCGTGAGATCTCACCTTAATTTTCTTTAGGCCTAATTCATTCAACATTTTCTTTAACATTAAATGACTTGGAGAACAGCATATTCTGAGCAAACATGCTTAGTTTCATAGTTGTATGATGTGTTAATAAGCGCTATTATATTTACTATAAAACTTATATTATTCTAATATGTTATATTTATTCTATTGTTATATATAATAGTTATCAATTTATATTAATTATAAAACATTATTATAACAAGGTAATGTTTATTTTATTCTAATATACTTATTATATTTTATTGTCATGGATCTGCATTTTCTATAATATATTTCTATAATAAAATGCATATGTGATATTTCTTATTATATAATTAGCATCAAACAAATAATATAGTTCTTATTCTCAGTGATTAAAAGAATAAACGAAAAAAATAAGACAAATGATTGCACAACCATCAATTAGGTGGCGATATACACTAAGCATGTAAATGACCATTGAACAGAAGAAGAAGAAAGAAACAGCATGGCGCGCTTTTTCTTAGCATCCGTTTCCATAGTGACTCGTCGATTCGTCGCTCTGTTGAGAATGTCTTGTGTGTTAACTAGGGCTGTCAAAAAAAAATCGAATTTTGAATATTCGTCGAATTTAAAATAAAAATCCACAATCGAATGCAAAAACATTGCATTCGAATTTTAGTTGTGCATTAAGGAGGCAGCCTTATCAGCGGCGCACGAGATGCGATGACGATGTAAGTGTCGTTGCATTATAATGTTTTTGTTAGCCTATCCAGTTGAAGTCACTAGATGCGGTGCTGCTGTGTTGTTAATTATAAAGATCTTGTTTACGTCAAAACTGAAACCAAGCCGTTCACACAGAACGCATATTTCACGCATCTAGAGGGACATCTATCACCGTTGCACTCGCGTCTCGCACAAAAGAGCCGCATGTTTAGAAAGCCATGTAAAATTAATGCAAGTTCAACTTTGAAAAAACATATATCGAGACTTTATGGCGGGTTTTTTCTCCATCCCACTGCAACTCGTGTTTTTAAATGAAAAATGCACTCTGTGTGGTTTTCGGCACTTTGTATTAAACTATACAGAATGAGCTTTATTGTCAGGTATGTTTACACATACGAGGAATTTGTTTTCGTGACAGAAGCTTCCACAGTGTAACAGAATGACAGTGACAGAACAAAAAACACAGATAATAAAAAATTTTAATAAATAAAAAATAGAACAAGTAAATAAGGAATAAAAATATACAAATCGACAATGCATACATAACATGATGCTGTTTTGTTTATAGTTGTTTAAGCAACTTAATTATAAATGGTTTATAAACATTATTTTAAACATATTGCACTTTTTTCACAGATAGTCATGTTATATTATGCTTTGAATAAACGTGCATTAGTAATATTTTGTTACTATTTGTTTGCTATTTAAGTAAAAAAATTCAAATTTAGTTGTTCAGCCATGTTGACAGCCCTAGTGTTAACCAGGAACATACTCTGAATTTAATGAACGTACTCCTGGATGCGTTTTTGGAACATGCATACCTCGAGTTAGCAAGGTTTGGGTTAATCAACCGAGAGTTCAGGGTTTAGCAGATGGTAAGTTAACCCTGCTTTCTGGAATATACCCCAGATGTGTTTCTGTCTATGGGAGGGTCAGAGAGCTCTCGGATTTCATCAAAAGTATCTTAATTTGTGTTCCGAAGATAAACGAATGTTTGGAACAACATGAGGGTGAGTAATTAATGACAGAATTTTCATTTTTTTGGGTGAACTAATCCTTTAATAAAGTTCTCAGTATCAACTTGGACACTGAAAATGTTTTGAAAGAGATATAGTTTGTGACTGTTGTTTACACGCTGCTCTCTCACCGGAGCACTGCATGCCCTGTCTGAAGAGGCCCTTGAGCAACCGGAAGCAGTGCATGCAGACGGTGGGTTTGGTGTAAGTGTGAATGTGGAAGGTGTGAGGGACTCGCGGTCGGGCCTCCTTCCCCTCCGACAGCCCCAAAGACACTGGCACGTCGGCCCAGGGCGGTGTGCGCGAGCGCGACGGCTTCGACATGCTGATCTGAGGGAGAAAACAAACCGACAAGGTCCCTTTAAGGCAATTCATGTCACTCGGCAGCCATCTGTGAAACGCCTCTCGGGCATGCAAGTTCAGCTCCTATCTTTTTGAATGGGGAAACATCAAATTCTCCAAAACTGTTCACTAAGTTTACGATTAAATTTCATGTATGAAATCACCAATGAAATCTGACAACAACTGTGTCATAAATGTCGTCCATTTTGCTCAAATAGCGTTCTAAAAAGCTTATTTCTCAGGCTAGACCAGCCAGTGCACAACTATAGTCCTGAGCGCAGCATGTCTCAGAACACTGATGCTGCGTCCCAATTCGCATACTAGTATTTAGTATGTCCCAAATCATAGTATGTTGAAAAGAGTATGCCAAAGATTCCCGGATGGTCTACTACTTGAGATTAAAATTCGAAGTCCAGATCGATTCGCACTCTAAACGGCTAATATTGCCCTCAACACATTGTGCAGTGGACGAGGATTCGATTAGAACTACAAACATGCATAAAAAGTGTTTTTTTTTAACTACAAACATGGCGGATATGCGAGGACGATGGACAGACAGCGAAAGGGGTTTGAGTGATAAATAATCAATGTCTAACCTGATTAAAAATATTTATTTATGCGGCTTATATTTCATCTGCAGCAACATTGTGAACTCTTATAATGATACGTTTAGTCATTAACTTTTAAATGCATCATTATGCAAGGCCTGCAGGGGGTGTGTTTGGTGTAAGGGTGAATGTGGAAGGTGTGAGGGACTCGCGGTCGGGCCTCCTTCCCCTCCGACAGCCCCAAAGACACCGGCACGTCGGCCCAGGGCGGTGTGCGCGAGCGCGACGGCTTCGACATGCTGATCTGAGGGAGAAAACAAACCGACAAGGTCCCTTTAAGGCAATTCATGTCACTCGGCAGCCATCTGTGAAACGCCTCTCGGGCATGCAAGTTCAGCTCCTATCTCTTTGAATGGGGAAACATCAAATTCTCCAAAACTGTTCACTAAGTTTACGATTAAATTTCATGTATGAAATCACCAATGAAATCTGACAACAACTGTGTCATAAATGTCGTCCATTTTGCTCAAATAGCGTTCTAAAAAGCTTATTTCTCAGGCTAGACCAGCCAGTGCACAACTATAGTCCTGAGCGCAGCATGTCTCAGAACACTGATGCTGCGTCCCAATTCGCATACTAGTATTTAGTATGTCCCAAATCATAGTATGTTGAAAAGAGTATGCCAAAGATTCCCGGATGGTCTACTACTTGAGATTAAAATTCGAAGTCCAGATCGATTCGCACTCTAAACGGCTAATATTGCCCTCAACACATTGTGCAGTGGACGAGGATTCGATTAGAACTACAAACATGCATAAAAAGTGTTTTTTTTTAACTACAAACATGGCGGATATGCGAGGACGATGGACAGACAGCGAAAGGGGTTTGAGTGATAAATAATCAATGTCTAACCTGATTAAAAATATTTATTTATGCGGCTTATATTTCATCTGCAGCAACATTGTGAACTCTTATAATGATACGTTTAGTCATTAACTTTTAAATGCATCATTATGCAAACATATGAAGAGAGTTCTCGGCATGATAGACTGGCAACGTGCCTCTTTATTTCTCTCCAATACGGTAGGAACTCAAATTAAATGAAATGTGGATTTTTGTTAACTGTGACAAGATGATTGACAGGGCAGTTTAAACAGTGACAGAATGCACGTAACTAAGCAACATAGCATCCGTTAAAGACGCAGTTATGACGAAGTAGTATGTCCCATAGCTTGCCTAGTATTCTGCTACATACTCAAAAGTATGTACTTTTTCTTCACAAAAAGAGTACATACTCTTAGGGCATAGTATGAGTAGGCGAATTGGGATGCAGCATGACTGTTTCTATAGCAACAGGCAGCTGCAGTGACGCGCTGATTTTACAGATTAGGGATTGGCTCTTTTTGCTCAGAAGGCAGGGCCTCGTTCGATAGAGCGGCCATATTGAGTGTTGCCTTTTTTCCCCATTCAGACCTATACGAGCGACACGTGGTTAGGATGGTCACCTCCTCCAGACTCCCGCCGGTGTGACTGGAGAGCTTCGGGGTCCGGGGCCGACCGGGAGGAAACAGCGACAGACTCAGGCCGCAGCGGCGATACACACGAGAGCAGTTGCTGGTCAACTTAAACACACAGCGCTTGTGGAAATCCAGACCGCAGCCTGCAGACAGAAAGACAAAGAAAAACCCTCAAACACTTCACTTTGCAGATTTGCTAAAACTTTTAAGATAACAACATAATGAAACACAAACAACATGTCATAGAAACTTAGCAATAATAAAATAAGTTTTTTTTATATTTATAAATAATATAATTATAAATAATATATAAACATAATAAATATCAATATTAAATAAACAAATAAATAAGCAATAAAATAAAATGCAAATATTCAGTATAAGACTTGATGTTATGTAATAAACAAATAAGCAATTAAGCAATAAATAAAACTGAACATTAACAACATATTGCAGAAACTAATGTCATAGAAACTAAGCGAAAAATCAAATAACTTTACATATTTATAAACAATATAATTTATATTATAAATACACTGTGACTAAAACTAAGCAAAAAATTTAAATAACATTTTGATAAATAGTCTAAATAATATACTTTCTAATTAATAGACAATAAATACAAAATATAAAGATGAATACTATATAATAAACAAATAGATAAACTCTTCATAACACAATAAATATAATGTACTAAACAACATAATGTAACAAAAGTTAAATCAAGCATCATGTCATAGAAACTAAGCAACATAAATAAATAGGCCTAATACTTTTATAAAAAATATAATTTATATTATGAATGAAAAACATGAATTTATAAATACTAATAACAAGTGCTAAACAAATAAAGGCAATTTACCAACAACAAAATATGAATATTTGTATGAGACTTTTAAGTATTTTGCGCAGTCGTACCTTCACATTTTAGACCCTGTCGGATGAGTCCCCATAACATCTCACTGCAGTAGTGACAAAACGTAGGTGTGCGATACGAATGGACGACCAGAGAATGTGGGCGGTACTTCGTCTCAGTCACTGAAGCCGTTCCTGGAGTGATCAATGTGATTGACAGCTGTGAACATCACCTGCAGTGATAGTAGTGAATGGTGTGTGTGTGTGTGTGTGTGTGTGTCTGTGTGTGTATGTTTGTGTCTCTGTGTGTGTCTCTGTGTGTGTGTGTGTGTGTGTGTGTGTGTGTGTGTGTTGTGTGTCTCTGTGTGTGTGTGTGTGTCTCTCTGTGTGTGTTTGTGTGTGTGTGTATGTTTGTGTGTCTCTGTCTGTGTGTGTGTGTGTGTGTATGTTTGTGTGTCTCTGTGTGTGTGTGTGTCTGTGTGTGTATGTTTGTGTCTCTGTGTGTGTCTCTGTGTGTGTGTCTGTGTGTGTCTGTCTGTGTGTGTGTGTGTGT